ACACTGACAGCTGGAACGTATCACCTCTGAGTTTCTTTTCTGAATGTGACATAAGAAATAATCTTGTTCAACAGAGCAATTGAATTCTGCAGGATTCCTCTAGTGTGCCCTAAAATGTCACAGTTCACTATAGTACTGTGCAATGTGAAGAATTGCTGCTTTTTATGTGATACAGAAACCTTTCAAAAATGCCTGATTTACCATTTGCTGTTCCAGAAAGCTTTCAAAACCCAAGTGGATAAAGTTTAGAGCAGCTTGATCTCATCTCATAGCTGTCCTTTGAGCAGGAACTTTGATTAGAGAGCTTGTGAGCATCCTCACAACAATAAATAATCCTCTGATCAGGTTAAATAACATTCAAACTCCAGTATTTTTAAAAAAGCAATCCACACCCCAGAACTACCTGGTAAGAAAGCATAACTCTATAATAAACATCTAAATACTAGGATTGGAGTTTAAATTCAAATTACAAAATACCCCAATAATTATTAACTCAGATATTTTCCTTAGAGCCAACTTTACAGTTCTGCCTGATTCACAAAGTACCTGTACTATAACATAACTACAATATTTAAACTTGTAGAAGTGAGTAGTTTCAATACACACAGTGAAAAAATCTACTGAAGAGATTTCTATATACAACTTTTAATGAAAACTCAGAGAAAGAGCATGACCTAGCAGCAAGACTTTTTGGTGTTTCTTTGTTGTACAGCATTGGATTTACATGCAGCATTATTAAATGGTAACCTATCTACACAATAACATATCTAAGATATAAGCATCATTTGAATTAAGTCCATTTTCACTAAGGCAATGAGTAAAAATTCCCCATTAAATATTTGAATACAAAAATATGAGTTTTAACGAACAAGCAACAAACACACACATGATATATTATCTGATCAAAACATTATGCAATAGAAATTCCAAGTTTATGTATTACAAAATAAAATGAGGTAACAGGTACAAGTCATGGTTGACAGGAAATTGAAGACTTTCAAATTTTGTCCCAGAAGAATCCTCTTATATTTCCTTTCTGAAAATTTGCTTTATCAGTTTCTTAAGGTGTCAAAAATGGAATAAAGCTTGTTATAAGCAAATGTATTCTCTTCAAGAGTGAAAAAGCAAATTCAACAGTTATCAAAAAGCAGCACTTGCAAAGTTCACCAAATACACTATTCAGCCTTAAAATGTAATTCAGATATTAACACTGAATAGTTTTAATAAAAGTTTTAACCCTCATGATGCATAGTAGACAATTGCTGGTTATGTGAAAATTTTAAAAGTCAGTCACATCTGTAGTAGTCAAAATTTTTTAGCAAAATTTTTAACCAAACCCCACTTTATAATCAACAGCTTTCAGTTGGAGAAAAAGACTAAAAAATCACAGCTTGAAGAATGTGGAAAATATTTTTAAATAGGAAATATATCTGAGGAAACTAAATTTTACTAAGAACAGAAATATGTATATAAAACAAAAATATGTCTATTTTTAGTCTTAATTTAAATGTTAGATTTGATTACCTACATTCTGCTAGAAAAAAGTCTTCTTGGACTAGGTATTGTTCAGAAAAGGACTGATCAATAGACAAGGACAAGACTTTTAAAAATTCTAATGCCATTCCTCAGGCTACATTTTACTTCATTTGTGCTGGCAACATTTACCCATAACAGCAGTGCTCAGTCTGTAGATTATAGGATGTGGGAGTTCACAGTAATGTTATTCCATTGTTCAACAATAACCATCATACATAGCTTAAAAAAAATGCAAGATATTTAATTGCAAGAGTTTATTTTTGGTGCAAGACTTGTAACTGTTTAGTACACTTATCTCTCAAGCAGTTGATCTGAATTACACTGCTTGTGAAGTGCATTAGGACTTTCCAGAAGCAACTAGACTTCAGCACTGTAATGCTCACGGGGTATAAATGGAATTTTAGACATATTCTGGACAATGTTAATTTCAAGTCTTACAATTATTTACTGAGGTAATAAGACATTTGCGTTCTAGTAAAACTCTGGTGACTTGAGTAATGCTGATTTTTGGGGTCAGAAAATAGCTCTAAATACAAAAGTAGTCTACACTTACGCAGCCGAAATAAAAGATCTCAGCTACCTACGCTAAGACCTGAAGGGCAGAAGAAAACATATGTGGCCAGAAAAGACATGTTGTAACAAAATCCAACTGAACATTTTTCAGGTGTGCAGATTGAAAATGACAAGTAGTAGGATATAAACTAAAGCACGACTTTCACACCTGCAATTGCTGACCTTTTACACTTCTGTCAGACTTCCAATTCATATAAGGACATGAAACCCCTTACTTGAATCACTGTTTTGACAGTGGCCCCCTTCAAACCTTTACTCCTCCCTCTCCTCTGCCACAGAGACATCCTGTCTCTGCTGTGCCTGACAATCTTCTTGGCAGTCACAGCTCTCACGTGGCCAGCCTCTGCTGCCACACAGAGCTGCTCACCTCATCTGAGCTGCCCATGAAGCCACAACACCTGCCCCATGACTGCATGGGCTTCTTCTGTGCCACCCCACACCTGCTTCCGTGTGCTCCAACATGCACTGAGGACCACACCTTAACATTCTTCACACAAATGTGAATATCTAGTATTAATGCCAGAGCATAATGGAGCTTTCCCATTTATTGAATAAATGGACTTGCTATGGTAGTGTTATTTCAGTGCAGTGTAAACCAGCCTGGGTGACTCTCACACGCCCTACACCTAAACTCACTGCAGGGAAATCCACAATGCCTTTTCTTCTGAAAAGCACCTAGAGATTGATCAGCAGTTTCTGGACTAAAGGCAAATCAGTGAAAATAAATGGCACAAATAAGAAAACACTCAAATGCCCTTGCAGCACTACCTTCCTCACCCAGCAGTGCTGATTAAACTTTACCTTTTTTGAAATGTAGAATGCAGAAGGGAAAGGCCTAGGATCAGCAGAAGTTCCCAGGAAAGGACTCAGTTCAGCAACTCTTCTCCATCACACATGGAGTGCCACATACACACCACATCATCAGAAAGGCAGGCAACAAGGGAAACAGTTCTTTCCTGCACTCATGACACATTAGTAGCCTGGGGAGTCTCCAATAACTGGGATGTAAGGTTTTAATTTTTTTTTCCTTGTAAGTCAGGGCAAGCAGACTGCCTGTGGAGAGCACCCTTTTAGACAGCACAAGCAGCTGGGTATGTCTACCTAGTTGCCAATTTATTATTACAAAAACCATCTACAAAAACATGCCCATTTAACCAGGATTAACACAATCCTGGTGGCTTCACTTTCCATCTCCTTTGTGCATGTGTTTCATGCATACTTATTTATTTATGATAAATAATACTTATTTATTTATAACAAAATTCTTACCTATTCCAAAAATGTAATTTATTTCGAAGAGGTATATAAATTTGGGTTTTCTTCAGTAATAGCTCACTAACAAACTTGAAGCTAACATTAGCAAGACAAAACACTGGTCTTTGGAGAATGAACAAGAAGTAAATCTCAAAATGCAGAGATATTGTTGGAAGATTAATTCTAGCTACTGATATCTAACAGGACAAAAACCTAAAACTAGGCACTCACACTGCATACATTAAGTAGATAGAAAAATGCAATGCATGTAAATGTTTTGTAAACTCTATATCATTAAAAATGACAACAGGGTTTCAAAAGTGTCTTCAGTAATGCTCAATGGAGAGCAAATTTAGTTACTACACTGGCATACCAGAAAACATATTTACATATGCAGAACCAGAAGGGACATCTTCAAACTATGTTTTTTTAAAAAGAACAAACCACACTATTCATGTGCGGGCTTTATCACAACTCCTTTTCACAAAAATATTGATAGAAAATGTTGATACTTAAACAGTTTAAACAAACTTGTTACAGAGCACTGATAGATCTGCAACATTTGTAATACTCCTTTCACCATGCACATAACATTCTCACAATGCACCATTTCTTCTGAAACATATAATACATGCACTGGTGACAGTATAAAAATAAACAGAATCACTCTGTTAAAAAAAATAGTGTAAGAGGGTTTTTCTCATTTGAAAAATGCTTTTTTTTTTTTCCAGATGCTTAACAGTATTATTCTCTTACAAAAACCGAGATTTTCTGCACAATTTTGGTTTCACTTGTGCTCACTTTGAATTGCATTACATATTTGAAGTATTAATGTTCCCCATACTTAGATCAAGAGCTCTTAAACTCTACTCAGGCTGAATTACACAATGCTTAAAAAATAAATCTAGTATTTCTAGATGTGTTCTAACTTTATTAAATGTTTCACTTACTCTCCATGGTCCCAATAAATTACGTGTTTTATTGAGAGCAACTCTTTACAATTACTTCTAATAGGCAAGATATATCCATTGTAACTCATCACTTGTATAATTAAATAAAAAGTCCTACCTTTCTCAAAGAACAAAGCACAGCATTCCTAATGCACAAAACAAGAATTCAGTCTGAAGCAGAGCTGCACTTCTCTTGTATTTTGAAAAAAAGTTGAAAAATTTTACAACTGTCAGAGAACTGCAATTAAAGCCTGCTTTAAACTTCATAATCCAAAAATGCTGTTAAGAGTCCCTTTTCTTCCAAGAACTTGTCAATGAAAGGTTGACATCGAGTCCCATCAGCCATTTAAAAATGTGTACAAAAATAATTTAATTGGAATATTCTATGAAGCAGGTAATTTTACTAAGAGCTCAGACATTGAAATATTGATTCCTGTTAAAGGGACACCTACACTAACCAGTGTTCAAGGGCTGATTAAACTATAATGTTCCCCCAAATCTTATTCCAAGAGATTTTCTCTTTTTTTTTTTTTTAAATTAGAAAAAATATTACAAATCCAAAAGTGAGTCCATTTTTGGGGTGAGAGATGGGTTTGCTTTGTTTCCCCAAACAACATGGGAGAAGGTCCCTTTAACAAGGAAGGAGACAGGTATCACTTAATCAGGATGTGGGAATGGAATCTGTACCTATGGGTAAATGGCAATGCGTTCTGTGTTGGTTCAGCCCTTGGTTCTGAGTTCTGCGTCACTTCTGGCATCGCCCGCTCGTCATCTGTCCCGTTAATGCTCTCCGGAGTTAAAGGAGACTGAATATCCCCTCCAGCCGATTCCTTAAGTGAAAAAAACAACATATTGAAATTACAAACTGACCTACCCAGAAAGATTATGTACATAAAAGCACTATCATTCATTCTTAAACAATACACAAATTTTATTTAGTATTAATATGGTGTTCAGATTTCTAGCACCCCTCATGGTCCCGTTTCATCATGTGTATATAATACAGAATTATACTACCAAAAGATTCACATTATCTTACACAAAACACAAGTGGCCTATGAATTCTTTGCAAGATCCAACCTTCTACCTATTACAGACCTCTCTCTTACCTGGAATTACATTCCACCCTCATTCTGATACACAGTGGGTGACTCTTGACACTAGAAATTCTTGTCTCATACTTTACATTCTAACGCAGCAAAACAAACAATTCTGGTATTTGTTTCAAAATCTAGCTTTTGTGCTGTTTATTAACCAAAGTGAACAGTGGGATGGCGATTTGCAGTGTGTTCCCAGTTTCACCTATGAGCCATCTGTAAAGAACACTTGTTCAGCAAAGTACAGGCAAAAATTTTCATAGGCATGTTAGCCTGGCCTAGCTCTTGCTGGTCATGCTATTATCTGGGAAGGAGAATACTCCAGCTACAGCCAGATGTACACATAGCTATGGTTATGCAATGGAACACCTGAAGAACTTAATGTTTGCCTCCTAGCAGAAGGCACTGCTGTGGTTTTCATTATCTTTCATCACACCAGGATGTATGTTTTTGTGTACATTTAAGTATGAAAGAGAGTTGATAATATAAAGAGACAAAAATTTTTCTATACAAATGGCATGGTTTTGTCTTCTACTACTACTACTACTACTATTATAGTTATTATTATCATCATCCAATAGGATAGACAATTTCCATTGACAATAAAAGAAAGACTTTCTGGATCTAAATGTTTTTCTTCTATTTTTTTTCTTCTTCTCAAACTACATTATGTACTATAAAAATTTACATACCACAGTCTAAAATAGCTGCATAGCTTGTATCTTTAAGATAAAATTCCTGCAACACTACTACTAGATACATAAAATCAGAGTCTACTTATGAAAATGTTTTAAATGTGAGTGCAAAAAAAATTATTTCAATAGAAGGAAAAAAATTACAATTTCCATCTAGGCTTATTTTTTCATTAAAGTACTTCCACAGACTCCTAATATAAATGAAATTCAAGTAACAAAAATTAAGGCAGAAAAACATCCCAGTCTATGTAATAGCTAAAGGTTCATGGCCTGCAAATTCATGAACAAAAGAAACATCAGTTTTTAATGTGTTTCTCCTCCACAAAAAGTACAGGTTAATCAGTGCTTTCACACATTCACAACTACCACTGCCTGATAAGTAATTTATTTGCAGACAACTCTAATGGAGCTGACTATGAACAAAGCACCAAATATAACAGAAAAAGCCACTTACATTGAAAAGATTTTTCACAAATGTTTACAAATAATATGTTCCCATTTTATACTAATTAGAGGACTAAAAGTATTTTGTGAGATGTGCATCTGTAATTAAGTTTTTATTGCATACCATTATAACTTCACATATCCACTCCAGATTTACAAAATTGGGCATGACATTGTGATATTTAGTATTTAAACAAACATAATAGTGGGGTATTTATCAAAAGATATCTTATATTTCAACATCTTAAAAAAAACCCCACATGCACTTAGAGAAGAGTCCTTAAAGTAAAACAAGTAGACATTACAGCACAGATCAAACCTCCTTTTAGTGATAACAATAAGGACAGAAAAAATAGAAGTTAGTGGTTCTAATAATTAACAAAAAAACACCAAATCCATCATGTTTAGATACTGAGTATTATACTGTTGCCTCAATAAGGATTCCATACACCTTCTTGGCACAGCTGTTCTTCATAGTGCTTCCCTGTGCTGGCTGGCAGTGGCATAAGTCTGCCCGCTACTGCCACCCAGACATGTACGAAACATTTTTTGCAGTATTTGTTGCAAAAAATTCATATAACATCCCAGACCTTTTTCACAAGCTCTAAGTAAAATTTGTACTTCTACAGAGAAAAAGACAAAAAACTATAAACCAGCATAATTTTACCAAAACCAACCATATTTTTTCACTAAAAATCATGTGATTGTAAAATTTTTCAGGCAATAGTTACTCCTAATAGTTTGCATAGGAAAGGCTCAGAATCACAGACAAGACTATTTTAAATAATTTATCCACCCCACAATTTTAGAAACTTAAACAGGTCCTAATCTGAAATGACCAGGGTAAAAAAAACCTATCACAGCACAGTCATCCTTAGAAGAAAAGAACTGAGGTTCAGATGCCAGCTGATTGGGGTGAAGCCTCTCAAGGCTGATGGGGTGCAACTGCCAACTGTACAAACTGCTCTATTTGGTTCTGCGCTTAAACCTAATTAAGGCTACTTTAAATTAAAAGAAAGAAGTGCAGGTAGGTAGACACAATTGTCAGGCTATTGCTTCATGCACCTCAGTGAACTCCAGAGCTATGTGTAAGGGTATGGGAAAACTAGTAAATGAGAAATGGGTGGCTTGCCACTGAGATATCCATGAGTTTTATGAAAAAAGCAAGATGATTTCCTGTATTACAAGATGGATCTGGGAAATAGGAGGTGGCAAAGCAGGGGACCCAGTATTTCAGTTTTATGTAAACAATAGTAAGAGGACTACAAGTTTTTATTACCTAAGGCTCAGTTAAATGGACACCAGATGGTGTAGCTATGTGCATAGGTGGTCTTAGAAGTCCCAAAATAGACAACTTCTTTCTAGACCAAAGCCTCCAGACATACCAGATATAGATAAATTGTGTACTATTATATGAATCTGTCTTCATACAGATGGCTTTAAAGTACAGGTTCTCTGACACAGAAACAATATGCTACTCTTCATCTCGAGAAAGCCCAGGGTACTCAATGGGACTTACATATAAAAAAGCAGCATCTCTTTTCTAATTTGGTGGTCCAGGCCACTGTCTTTCTCTGAACAAGTATAGTTCTCTTTATAGTTAAGGTAAATGGTGATTTATCTATTATCTGATATTCTGGAAAATTAAAGTAAAGCCTGCTGGTAGGCAGGCAGAGAACAGGGAGCATTAAAGAAACAGGGAGAATGAAGAGTTTAAAATTAGCAGCAGCATTGCTTAGGGGACAAGGCACTCCTGCTATAAAGTAACTGCAAATTAGGCTACCTATGGTTTTCTTTCTATCATGGGTTTCCCAAACACTAAAAAAAATATCCAAAGAACATATTCCATCACATGAAACAAAATATCAAAAAAAAAACCCACGGAACTTCTATTTCCTGGCCATTGAGGCCCTTTATAGGACCAACACTTTGCTAAAGCACGTAACACCTGACAGAATCAACCTAATTTTAGTGGATTAAAGGCAAAATTGCTGTGAAATTTTAGCATGGCTAGAGTCTGCTAAATATTTGAACTACAAATGCATGCCAAATTTCTGAGATATTGTTGCTGTTGTCTTGATTTCTATTTCTCTGCAGCTTCCCAAGTTTTTGCATGGCATTCAGAATTGAAACTCACATGTAGCAGACGTATTTTCAGGCTTGCATCAAACAATAGTGAACAGCAAATGTCTTGTGCAGTGTTTTGTTACATTAGTTGTAGAGATATTTTATAAAGAATCAATGTGTAAGGGCATACTGAGGCAGAAAAGTGTACTTTTACTGTTTTAGAATTCTGTAGTAGAGAGGGTAAGAAATGTACCATATCCAGTACTTTAAGTGATAAATAATAAGGACATTTTTTAAAGTTGTACCAAGAGAAATAAAACATTCTATTTAAGTTTTAAATTTGATGTTTATATTTTCCAATTTTGACATGCAGTATTTTCCTACTTATTACTAATTTAACACAGAAAGATATCTGCATGTCCAAGACTGCAGAGGGACTGATCCTTTTTGATAACTGAGTTATCATTACATAGCTCATAAACCTCCCGATGTCCTTCCTGTCAATGCTGCCAAAGCTCCACTGAAAAAGCCAGGTTCCAGCAAGGCATTTACTGACCATTAAAAATATCCCCCTCTTTCACTCTCCCCCCCTGCAATGGATCACTATGCAAAAGGGAAAGAAGAGCTATAAGATGATTCAGAAGGACAACAATTGAATTGTTTGCCTTGCAGCCACTTTTAGCAGATGACGAAAATGAGAGCAGGTGCTCTTTCAAATGTCTCTATGGTCCCAACTTCCCTCCCTAGTACCAAGCACCCATCCTCCTCCCAGTCATAAATCCAACTGAATGAGCCCAGTACCACAGAACTGCTGGAGTTTGTCATGATGCCGTTGCTTCTTAATCTGTTCTAAACTCTGAAGTTCTTGATTTGATTCCCTTCTCTCTACGGAATTAGTATGTGAAAACTACTATGCTCATGTGTCAGCACTTGCACTAACTGTATTACCAAGCTACACTAGCTTATCAACACAGTGAAAAGCCAAGAGAAGAAAAGTAAGGCCCGAATAGGAAATTATTCTTAAGTGTGCCATAATGAAATTGCAGCCCACAACAGGCATTATAGAATCACTCAGAGTAACATTTCTGTAACTGCCTACAGCATAAAATGTTAGGTTTCAACTGTAAAAAGAACTCTGTACAGGAAAATGAACAATATTAATAGCTCACACAGTTTAAGAAAAAGCTTTAACCATGATTAGCTGCAAGACAAAAGCATCTTATCTCTGAGTGAATAGCTCAAATTTACGTCCAAACCATGTAATATGTCACTCTACGTGACAGTGTCAGATTTAAATTCTGGTCCAAAATATAAATCGATGTGTCGAAAGAGAAGCATAATAATTTCTTTGCCTATAACATCAAGTAACTAGAAGTTTGGGGGGGAACTTCACTGTTTCTAAAGTCAAGTATGTATTATTGATAAGCGTATAATATTGAAATACATAATTTCATTGTCTCTGTGGAATTTATCAAAAATTTAGAGACAGTAAAGTAAATTTATAGAACTCCCTGCCTTTTTTTTTTTTTTTTTTCATTTCAGTGGAGTAAGCAGTTTCCCATTAACAGCAAGAGCTAGCCTAGCATTTGGGCAAAATGCTTACAGGGAAAACAACATGATGCTTGTTCATTGTGTATGTTCTGATTTCCACTGACTCTCAGTAGGACACCAGATGTAGATTTCTGTTAGCAATAAAACTATTTGTGCAGCACGCTGCAAACTGCCTGCCATCCTTACTCCATCAAAGAGCAGGAGACTGATACAGTAAAAAGCACTGAAGATACACTGATTCAATGAAAAGACTCCCCAGAAAAAATGTTCAGTCTACTCAACTCAGGAATCCCTGCTGTAGTTTTAAAGCTGTTGCATTCTCCAAGAGAAGGAATTGCATTTGTCTTCGCTACTGCTTAAAACAAAGCAAATAGCTAACTGAGTCAAAAATCTTAGGCAGGGGGAATACAGGAGAGATGGGGCATAAAAGCCTCAAGGAGTTTCTTTTTTCAAAGCAAATTCTAAGTATTCATAATTAATTTTAGCCATAACTAATGTAAATGTGAATATAGTAACTGACTCTCTGATTGTGCCTAGATTAGAGATAGCTTTTATAAACTCTTACTGTACATCACAACTAACTGTAATATAACTCCAGAACCAGGCTGTGAATCTATCATCTTCCTTCAATGCATCTCACAAGAGAAAACTACACAGTAGGGAATAAGTAAAAATGGTTTGCTGTTTCAATCTTTATTTTTGGTGCAATGATTGTTCTATAAAAGTTATTTACAGTACACCACCAGAAGTTTTGTGGATATAACAGGAAATAGTACAAAAAGTGTTTAGTATAGTCCACTTACATAAACATGTTTATTAATTTTCTTGGGAAAGCTGAAATAAAGGAAAAGGAATAAAAAACCCACACAATTTTATTTTACAACAAGTCCCTTTGACTTGCTTGCAGTATATGTTAAACGTATTTTTAAGACTTCTTGACACTCTTGCTGACCAATGAGAGGATTCACAGTAATTGAGAAATTGCCCCTTAATTTTTAATACATATGTATGTAAGGAACAATAACAGTAAGTAGCACAGACAAGAAGTATGATGCTTGAATCAGGCAATAAGACTCACTTGAGAGGGTGTACTTGTTAGCTCCATTTTTTCATGGGATTTTTCCTTTGCTATTCGCGCAGCTTCTTTGAACTCCTGAAATTTTTCAGCAAACTGAAGGTACATATGTTTGAAGAATAAAAAAAAAGAAAAGAGAGAAAGTGTAGGCGTGAAATAATACATTGCATGCAGAACAGAATGCTGTACTTTGCATTTCACAATGTCAAATTCTGTCAGTAATTTAAAAAATTTTTCTCCTTATTAGATACTCATTTAAATGAGTTACACAGTGACATACCTTTCAGGCACTTAATACATATCTTAATACACACTCTTTATATGTCAGGAAAATGGCAATGCAATGAAACATGATCTGTTGCTCATAGTTTTAAGAAACTCACCTCAGAGATGGCTAATAATAGGGACAAACTGCTTTGCATAGCTGCTTTCAGATTCAGGTTTTACCCTTCTCAAAAAACAAATAATCTGCTTCTGAAGCCTGATGTGGTCACCATGAGCTACGAAAGCTTTCAATGTAATTTGTTCTTTCATGACTGAAGCAATACTGACTTCTTCCCGAATGTTAACTGCATTTCTAATTTCAATAGCTAATTAGAAAAGAAACAGTGGAAATACTGTGTTCATCTCTAGAACGTTCATTGACATCAATCAATTTAAGAACAAATTCATTGAACTAGAACTGCCTATACTGAACACTAAATCATGAAATTGCACATGGAACTGCCATATGAGGCTTTATTTCTATGCTACATGCACCTCTTCCAGAAAATAGCTAAAGCAGCAATTTAGAAATATATACCCTCTTAAACCTGAAAGATTAAATTAATTTCTTAAGAATAGGGCCTGGTTTCTCTGGCTAGAAAAAAAATTGGCACCACAGTTCTCATCTTGCCGCTACCCTAATTTCTAGAGTGGCCACAAATTTGTTTTTGTGTCCTACTGCTTTTATACAGACCATTATCTTAATATGATCAGCTTAAGAGTGAAATGATTCTGCAAAAATATCAGAGGCTTTTCCAGCAGCTTCTAAATCTCTCTGGCAGCAGCATATGAAAAAATTGTTTTGCACTCAATATATATACAAGGTACAAAGGCTACCTTTTGTGTGGCACAACCTCACCAATTATTTTCTATCAGAACTTCACTTACCACACAAGACCTAAAAAAATCTTACTGTCTTTAAACCTTTTCCTGGTAGCCTACTAGTATCTGAGGACTTTTATTTCTCTCCACTTGTATTTCATTTGTTACGTTATTTGAAAGCTTATTTTTCCTGAAAGTTTAATCCAGCATCAAAAAGAGTCTCAGAAAAGATGATGAAATTGGCAACAGATGATGAAACAGGTCACCAGATAATACTTTTTTAAGACTTGTGCCTAAACCTCAAAATCTTATGGGTAAACTATTGTTTAAATCAGTCTTAAGACCAGAGAATTATTAAATGGCAAATATGATTCTGAGGTTTGGAATAAATGGCTGAAGACAAAGGCAGTAAATATGACAGCCACAGAAACGTTTTTTAAAAAAAATCATAGATCAACAAACAGCATTCTAAAAAGCCAAAACGCCCAATTTGGTTGAGATTTCCACAAATTTTCTAGAATTCTTTGAGACAGTCAGGTGATGAATAATAGCTATCTCTTGATAAAATTCCTCAATAACAAAGATGAGTCTCATGGCATGAAAGGAGAAGTTTTCTGGAAGATCACATTTTTAAGGAAAAGATGAAAAATTGTGCATGAAGACTACATAAGGCTGCTGCCAGTATCCATGGTGGCACTTTCCATTTGGCATATTCTTTAAGCTTTATGGAATAAATCAGGTCAGCTAACTCAAGAGGGTAAGACAGCGTACCCTAAAAGGAGTATTTCTGACACATCAGGATACTATCAAAAGCATAGACATTTTCTGAATGAGAAAGTAGTTTCAATTTTTTGTGAAAGTGAGAGGACATTTTGTTTCTCTTACTGCAGCAGCAAGAGGGACTCTGGTAACAAATCATGGTCCTGTGAATATTCTTCAAAACAAGTATCTTTTAAGTATCACCGACATCTGATGGAGCAGCCTTGAGATGGAATTTGTGGTCTAACATTGAGAAAAGGTCTAGTGAACAGAAATAAATGTTTTAATTAATTTTCCTCTCTACTGTTTATATGTAAAGTTGATTAGAGTGCCATTACTTTTCCATCAGACAGTCTCACTCCACTAATTTCTATTCAGAATAATTGTACAGAAAAGAGGTTGGCATTGTTGCACTCTACCCCAGCAATCAGTTCAGAAGGACAGGGGCACGTAAAACAAACCAAATAGTACAGAAGTCAAACATGTACTGTAAGACATGCAGACAATAATATGAGAATAACAGTTTATCAGCTGGGATTATTTGCATCATTAAACTATGGAAATTGGTCACAGACTAGACCAACTTTTTTTGCAGTTGTAGGCTGCCTTTTGCTCTCTGGAACTTAAAACACAATCTTAAAGTGTATCAGAGTGCTCTGGTAAACCTGGCTATGATGCACAGGAATGAGGGTAAGTAATCTGAGGGAGAGACAACACAAGAAAGAGAATATAGACATGATTTCTCTAAAGTTACAGGGCAGATCTAATTCAGCTCTTCTGATTCCCAACCAAACATACCTACCAGCCCCAGTGGCTGAGCAGCTTCTAATCTAAAGTTTTCTTTCCCCATCAATATGTTTATAATTTTTAAATAACACAAAAGGTTAAATCTTTAGGAATTTTAGTAGTAACAACTGGCAGTTGCAACTCACAGGAATATCAGTTTAATAATTAAGATATAATACAAAAGGAATAGTATGCGGACAAGGGCTCATAGTTTCACCAAAATCTTCAGACAAGGTCTGTGACTCTGTATTTTTCTTAATATATTTGCTTATTGTCCATAAAACAGCAATCTGAGTAAAAAAAATCTGCTCAGAAAAAAAGAAATTAAGAAAAAATGTCTACTGTAGCCTTTCAGATTAAATTTTAACACCAATATAGGCTTTATGTCAAAGGAATATTTAGAAGTCTTAGACATTTGTTTGGTGGCAGTGAAAAGAATGGGATTGAAAGAACTGTAATTAAGAAGGTGACGGAGGGCAAAAGAAGAGTTGAGGATGAAGATTAAAAAAACCCAACATATTTTCACTGGCAAGGATAGCCTAGAGCTTGAAGTCAGGCAAACAGAGTGTATGACTACAGCAGGATGCTTTGCCTTCAAAGAATCATCTGTGAATAATAAAAACAAGCTAGTCTACATGACATACACACCAAATTTACTGACAAGATCTCCAAGTTCACTGAAGCAATGATAGATGCACAAATGCACGTGCAATACCAGAATCACTCAAAATGTCCTGTGGTTGTGTTGCTTTGTGGAAAGGAAAGCCAAGAGATTATGAAAGGAAGAAATCTTACACGTTGGATGCTTGCCCAAATAAAGTAGCTATACTGGGTCTCGTTTTAATGGTTTTCTGGCAGGCCATGCGTATCCTTGGACAGTGACAAATACTTTCTCAAAAGGACTGCTATGATTACTCTTCCTTCAAACAGCTAGCCACCATCATTCCTTCCTGAACATGTGTTTCTCTTATTGCACTTAGGTATCCAAATCTTTTCTTTATTTCAAATATGAAAATTTTCTGCTTAATATAAAGACAAGCTCTTAAATTGCACTGAAATTCCTCATCTGAAGAAAAACCATGCTTGTACAGGTTCTTGGACTCATCTACCAGGGCAGTAGCAAAAACAACAAGTAATGTAGAAAGGATGCTCAGAGGACCTATGCCATCGGTTTGAGAAGCAGGGATTTCTTCTTTCCTTGGAATAAGGTCTATTTCCTTCTTACAGAAGTAGACTAGAAAAGAAACTCATGTACAGCACATACTGCTTCAGCAAACATTTCAACTTTTGCATTCTAGCAGAAGATGGATTTTTCTTTTACACTGAATATATTTCCCACTAGCTTTACTTTAACTCTGAAAATTTTGAAGTAACAGTAATTTGATGTACTACATAGTAGAAAAGTGAAAGTGAATGTAGCCTAAAAGACAAAAATGCATCTAAAGACTACAAACATCTTTTTTCTAGAAGATCTAAATACATAAGAAACATCAAATTGTTTACTTCTTTAAATTCTATCATGGAAAAACTGTAATGGAAGAACAACTTTTAAAAAAGAAAAACCTAACAAATCAGTAATTAGAAAGCATTAGCAACACAATGTGTAAGAGGCTTCAACCTCCCTCCTTTTCTTCATCAGTTAGAAGAAAATGTGCAGATATCACACTTACTCTCATGCTTTCACATTATAAGGACTAATACAGAACAATTTTTTGTAAATTATTTTTAAATAACAGTTGTGAGTACTGAGTCAAGACATAGTGAGCGGGAATAAAATACACTTAAGTAGCTTCACTAGCTGAAGAGTCGCCACTGGTCATACTTACTTTTGAAAGGTGATGTTCAGATGAAAATCCCAAGCCATAGACTGTATTCGCCCTGCTGTCTGCCCACTGGCCAAACTTCTGGGATGTTTTAGTAAATGTCATGTTGGGGGTGATGGTGCTGTTTATTATTGCCTGAAAAAGGTAATAACTGTAAAAAATGGGCTTCGTGGTTTTTATTTTTTTCTAAAGACAACTCATAATTGAAAATGCCAATATTGTAAGCAATTATCTGAATACACTGAATGAAACACACGCTGGGAGCTAGGAAACAGTTTTCCAATTCAATGCCAGCTAGAATTGCAAAGGCATATTTTTGCATACATTGTAAGGAGGAAACAGCTGGGGAGGGGAGTAGGCTTCAATTCGCAATTGCAAGCAGTCCTTTAAAGTTTCTACATATAAAGCCTATCAAAGTTCTTTTTTGTCTCACACTTGTATTTCTTTTTCCCTTAAGGCAGTGCCTCCCAAGTTGCCTGTCAATTCCACCGCTGCTCTTCCCCCACCCCTGCTGCAGATGAGATTCTCACTGAAAAACACTTAGTAATACAAAGGAACACATTTTCTTTTTAAATCTCAGTTCTACAAGAGTCTGTTCCCTTTACACACATACAAGCAAAGCTAATGGCAGGGTCATACACCAACTACAGAAGTGGAGATGCTCTTGTTTTAATTTTTCTTCTCTAGTTCTTGTTCTTGCATCTACAGGATGCAAAAAATTATCATCCTCCACCATTTAAGTTCTGATAATACAAACACAAAATGAAATTACTAGGTGATATGCTGGTTCTACTAAAAGCAACTGAAGTTTCACTGTGGATTTCAACAGTATTTCCATGACATTAAAGAGCACATATGTGCAGTGCAAAATGTAGAGACGTGAAGAACATAACACTGTTTTCTCAGGATGGTGACTGATAAACTTTAACATCACAGAGACTAAGTACTGCTCTCCTAAGACCAAGATCCTCTAAAGTCAAAATCAGCCTATACTACTTGAGTGATACGGACTTCTGGATGGATATTGAAATAAGTAGTTATTTAAAGGAGTTTACTGTGCACCCTTTGTTTTTGCTGAGAGATTTGGGTACCATTGGAGCACAGCTACCATCAAATTAATTTTTTCTATGAATTCTACAAGCAAGAATTGAAGGCAAGCCTGAAAAAATTACAGCTGAGGAGCCAGCCAAGCTCACAAACAGCACCCATGTTCATATGGTGATTCTCAGATTAAGTAGTGGAGAGGAGTATTGCAAGAAAGTTCAAAAGAATACATTGCATTGCAACATGTAGAAAGACAAGCAAAGATACTGCAGCACAGATAAATTTAACAAAACTCTTTCCTGGTGACTTTGGCAGCTTCACTATACTCACATTAATGAAGATGAGCAAATCTGAACATAGCCAATTCTTTCTGATAGTCTTTGTCTCTAAATACAAATTTTGCCTACCACTGTGAACAGCTCCTTGAAAATTCTGGAATGCCTGAAAGCTTACATTTGAGTCAAGAAGCCTCATCAGATCAAAGGCAGGATTTGCTGCGTGACCAGAAAATGGAGAACTATCTCCAGCATAGTCTGAAAGACATCCCTCAGATTTTCATATAGAAGCTGCTTAGTGAAGTCACTGAAACACTATTCTCCTTTTTTTAGGCACAAGGTTCAAAGCTCACATAAAGCCATCAGACTCGTACTTGCACAATCACCTCCAACTGACCACCTAGAAAACTGCTGTCTATAGCACACAGGACAAAAGAGAGAATGTGAGACAGGACTTCTCAGAAAAGAGGTGGGTGCTCTGTAACTCTTTTTTACTTGTATGCTTCTTGTCTTCTTTTGCACTGTTAGTGGTTGGAAGCCCACATTTGAAATAACAAGGTGGAAGCCCAGAACAGAGCTGTGCAAGCTCATTTAATGCTCAATCTCACTTCCTGTGGAAACTGTCAACAGTAACATGCTTGAAATTAAATATCCTGGGGACTGTGTAGGACAGATTCTTCCTCCCAAATCAAGCTCTAGCTATGTTGTCTAGTCTGCTTAAGCCCAGGCCCATCCAGTTCTTGATTAATTGAAACTTGCATCACATATTTTAGAGAGTGAATATTATGTCATGGACATAACTTAGTCAATTCAGAAGAGGACTCCAATGCCAGAGAGCTAAGACCTCCAAGCAAAACACAGGTTTAAAGCCTCCACAGCTGCCATTTCCTGCAGTGACAGCAGCATAGCTGGCTGCAGCTTAACCCAGTCAAAACAGAGAAAGGCTTCTGCTGACCACATGACAGGCTCCACCACAGAGAACCTGAACAGGGTGCCTGGTCCAGAAGGGCATAGCTTTTTTGATAGCAGTCTGCATTTAGGCTGGGTTACATTGACTGTCAAATTGCTTTCTTCCAAGAGAAAAAGGCAGAAAGAAAGCTTCAAAAATAATTGTGTTGAGAGAGTGTTGGCTGTGATTCTTCCCTTTATTTTCCAAGAAGGAAAAGTAAAGATGCTTCACTTCAGTAGACAGCATTAGCTCAAAGACTGGGAAGACTACATTCAGATCCCAGTGATTAAAAAAAAAAAAAAAAAAAAAAAAAAGCCCTTTCACTGAATCTACCCGTTTTAAAAGGAAATCAGGGTTTTCCATCTTCTCTAAATTAAAAGCCTTGGTATGCTAAGTCTCTCACATCCAAAACTATGCTTTTAAAAGTGTAATGCTAGAGCATCCTACAAATACAGTCCGGTGTCAGCTACCTCTGGAAAAACTAGATACCAAGCCTTCGTATATTTAGCTTAAAAAAACATTTTTTAAATCAAAATTTATAATTAAGCTTGTCTTGTCCATTCAAATGGGTACTGCTTTAACTGCTCTCCTCTAATCCAGATTTCACTGCATAGTTATCAGTATAACAAGTGTCAAATATTTCATCAACTTTTAAGAATGTTGTTTCCATAAATGAACAAGAAGATCTTAAAAACAGAACAGAGTCAATCTGACAGGAAGACATTTAGCTTTTGAAGAAAACTGATTTAGTTATCTTCAGGCTTTTTGAAATTATAAAATAGCTTTCATGTTTCCCTTTCATATTACTTTAGCGATGAGAAAATAGGGCATGTGTCTGAACTGTTCATTTTACGAGCTGCAAACCTGACAGCTGCAAGATATATAGTTGTGGTCAAATATGATTTTTATCTTGTGCTTAAACTAATGGCAATAATAATTTAAGACACAGAACTTTCTAACTTCTTCAAAGGAAAATCACTGCACACTTGTGTGTACAGGTCTTACTTAAAACATTTATTGAGCATTTTAAAAATTATCACTTTAAACTGAGACAGTGACTAAAATAACAAGATCATCTGCAGTAACACCAATGGAAGACTTGACTGAGTAATAATATATGCAAGGTTCATGGAACCTGCAGACTGGGAAACCACTCTTTTCCAGAGTCTTCTCTTGTTCTAGAATAATATAAAATTTAACTTTGTTTTCCTACCTTGCATCTGTCAAAAAAATTATCAGAGAGTTAACTAGTACAGCAAGAACCACACTATACTTGGTCTCCTTCCTTTTCTCAGAGATGGTGAGACACAAAATGCAAAAGACAGTGGGACACAGACTTCTGCCAGTACTGTTACTGGAGAAACAATGGAAGCTTTGTTCAATCACCCAGGAGAAAGAAGTACTAAAACACATTTTTCCAAGGAACTCTAAAATGAGTATATAATTAATGAGAACTGAAAGCCTTAGCAACAACTGCTCAATGTTGTCATGCCATACTACATAAGAAATCTTATTTTTCAGGCTTTCTTTTGATTCTGGGACTGGAAGGAGAAAAAAAGTCACATAAAAGATATTTACTCAAGAGGTAAGAGAAACTAGATTAAAGTTCTGTGACATTACTTGCATCAAGTTTTCTCTGCAATGGGCAACAGGGCTCCAAATACTGTGCCTGACTGTAAAATATACAGCCTGTACACTGAACACCTTATGGTCCTAGAACACTTTTTGTAGTCAAGATAGAGGGACATACATCATATCTGGTGCAAGATATTTCAAGAGGAGACTAGCTTCAGAAATCATTATACAAAATGCATTAAAAGTAAGTTGAAGTTGTCTCTGTAAGAACTGTCTTGGCTAAATCAAGTTCAAATAAGGAGAAAAAAAAACCACCCTCTCTTTCAAAATTAACCAAAGTCCCCATAAGGGAATTCAGGTTGGAAACTGCAATGCACAATAGGGGAGTGAAGATCATGTCTTTAAATGTCCTTTTGTTTTCAAGAAGATTTAATTACTCTTAGATAATCAGCAGAGAAGTTAAATTATATCCAGGAATACTTTTAACTCTTTGGAAATGCAATATTGTATATAAACAGGCACGATTGAAAAAAGGATGTGGCTTTAAGTAAAAATAAAAAAAGTCTCTGGGAATTATGCTGGAAACCCACTTAAAATTCTTCCATGTGTCCCTCCACTATTCACCTGTGTATGTTTCAGAGCAGTTTGGTGAATGCCTGAAAGAATGGGACTCTCTTAACCATGACTGGGATTCTAGATCTTCATCTAAGACTTAGATTAAAATATTATTAGGATTGCAGCACTCACAGAGTAAATAAAAGCAATGAACTTAATTATCAATGTACCTTGCCATTAGTATTGGATGTGGAGAGAATGCTGCAGCAGACAAAAGAACAACTAAATAGGTGTACAACTACTTGACAATTTAATTCAGCAGGCACTCAGCAGGAGTTGCAGCATCAGGATGAAGGCAGAGGAACCCCAGTGGATGTCAGAATAAGGATTTTGTATATTCTCCAAATCAGTTAAAGCACTACATTTTATAACTGGTACTCTTGATTTCATACATCATCTAGTTCCAATCCCAGTGTCTTTATTCATTAATACTGACTCAAAAGTAATTTTCATTATTTGACAGAACTAATTGAATCATTTCATGAAGACTGGCTGAGAAGGAAAAAAAAACAAAGTAAGACTTAAAGAAGAAAAAAATCTGGTAGGCTCTGATATCAGTCTCAGTCACTTCAAGCAGAGATTTTTGACTATGAGATTGATTCCTATATACTTCTTTGTGATAGAAAAATCTCATTTTACATTTAAAATGGCAATATTCTGGATATTTAAAAAAATACAGGGTAATAATTTTCAGCTTTAAATAAGTAGTCATAAAATCTCCATGAATACTGTCATGCTTTTAAGAGAGTATTTAATTTCGAATCATTGTGAACTGATGCATTTCCAAAAGCTTCAAATTAAAGTCTCTGGAAAGGATCACAACTTTTGATTACAGTCTGTGTATCTTTAATGCCCTTAGTGTAGAGTTTTCTGCTACACCGTTTGCAAAAGTTACTGTTATTATAGCTATGTGGGTAGAAGCAGTCAAGGATTTTCTGCACATCAAATTAATTGCTAAGACATGTTTTACAAGAGGAGCAGCTCAGCACAATATCCTTTCTAGTTAAAATAGAGAAAAAACCCAAACCAAACCAAACAAAAAAAAAAAAAAAAAAAAAAAAAAAAAAAAAAAAAAAAAAAAAACACAAAAAAAACCCTACTAAAACCAAACTGAGTCTAAATAAAAGCTTACCATTTATTAGGTAGGCTTTATTAGGAGACAATCCTCGCTTTCTCTACAGCAAAAAATGGAAGATTACGTAACAAAGGATTTACTAAGTGATTATGGCCACTGAACAGATGTCCTTCATAAAGCTGAAGCTAATTATATTGCTAAATGACTGAGTACAGAAATGAAAACAAGTTATTGTAACCCTATGAGTACTTTTTGTACAATTTTCTGACTTTTTAGCCTTCTCACAGCATTAACCAAGGCACAGGTCACCACTTCAATTCAGCAATAGTTATTGAAGTCAACACAACTACACGGAAAACAGAATTTACAAATAAACACTTAAAACATACGATGAGGCACTGTTACCATTTTAAAAAGTCAGTAATCCGTTGGTCAGATAATAATACAAATATCTGAGAAGAAACACGGAGAACATCAAACTAGAAAATAGTAGCAAAAATGCTTCAGACAACTAGGTTTTCTGAAACATAATTTACCTTTGAGCCATCCAAACTGATTATCCTGTAGACATTTCTTGTGCTGTCATAGAAGTAGGACACAGTAACAGCATGCTTGCTGGTGGGAACCCAGTTCTTCTTAGTGTTTGGGTCAATCTGGAAGACATGAGCTCGGGTGCTGAAGATGGGTTGTTCCCTGAAGGAGAGAGAGAAAAAGTCATGAATCTAATCTGTACCTACTATCACTGCACACAAGCTATCTGCCATTTGTGCCCATTTGGATATACACAAGTTACTCTACACAATAAACCTTGCCTGATGACGTCTGTATGTGCCACTGCATAGAGAAGGTAAGTTTGTTAATACACATATGCAAGCAAAACTCAAGTCTTCCACAGCAAAAATCAGCATCCAGTTGTGGAGTCAGATAAATACCTCTCATATAGATTCAGCACTATCTCATCATCCCCCCCCAGCTCTTCACTGCCCACCTATCCCTTAAAACTAAATGGCATTAATGCATGTGTAATTTCTGTCATTACACTGCACACTACAGAATGTGCATAACTTCAAGTCCACTTCTTCTCGAAAAATCTTCTAATATTCTGATTATTCCCATCAATTTTATGCCACAATCTGGATCTGAACTAGTTGATTCAATGCAATTACTCTAAAACTAACATTAATTAAGCTAGGAACATGTGTTGTGAATCCCTCATTCTTTGGAGCTTTACGTCTGAAGGCGTAAAGGTATTTACCAGCATTAAATAATGTATAAAATACATTTTAAATTGTAAATTGCTTAGCAAATAAAATTATATGAGGCAAAAAACCCCCGTATTATAATTAACAATTTACAACATTTTTCCTCATGACCACTACCAGGACACACAGCATTGCACAGAAATCTAAACACATTTTAATATCACTAAGATACTGGTAAGATGGCCTTCTACAATAGAGTGACTTTATCAGTAGACAAGGGGAGGGCTGTGGATGTCAGGTATCTGCACTTATGTAAAGCCTTTGACACATGCCCTACAACATACTTCTCTCTGGGTTGGAAGAGATGGATTCAATGGATGAACAGTTTGGTGAATAAGGAACTGGTTGGACTATTGCATCTAGAGGGCAGTGACTACTGGCTCAGAGTCCCAATGAACATCAGTTTTGGTATGTTCATCAGTGACAGAGAATGGAACTGACTGCACCCTCTGCAAGTTTACTCCTGACCCCAAGATGAGTGGCACAGTTGATGCACCTGAGGGATGGCATGCTATCCAGAGAGACCTGGACAAACTCTAGGAGAGGGCCCATGGGAATCTGATGAGATTTAACAAGCCCATTGTGCAAGGCGCTGCACCTGGGTCAGAGCAGCCCTGGCACCAGCACAGGCTGGGGATGGACAGATCACAGCAGCCCTGCCCAGAAGGACTTGGGGGTGCTGGTGGCTGAGAGGCTGGACATGACCCAGCCAGGGGCACTCCCAGCCCAGAGAGCCACACGTGTCCTGGGCTGCATCCAGAGCAGTGTGGGCAGCAGGGCCAGGGAGGGGATTCTGCCCCTCTGCTCTGCTCTGCTGAGACCCCACCTGCAGGGCTGCAGCAGCTCTGGGGCCCCAGCACAGGAAGGACACGGACCTGCTGGAGGGAGTCCAGAGGAGGCCACACAGATGGTCAGAGGGACAGAACACCTCTCCTATCAGGAAAGGCTGAGAAAGTTGGAATTGTTCAGCCTGGAGAAGAGGAGGCTCTGGGGAGACCTTACAGCAGCCTCTCAGTACCTAACGGATTATAAGAGCAGTGGGAGAGGGACTTTTTTACCAGGCCATGCAGTGAGAGACAAGGGGTGATGGCTTCAGACTGAAAGAGGGCAGGTTTAGATAAGACATTAGGAGGAAATTCAATACCATGAGGATGGTGAGACATTGGAACAGGCTGCCCAGAGAAGATGCGGCTGTCCCATCCCTGGAAGCACTCAGGGCCAGGCTGGATTGGGCATTGAGCAACCTCGTCTAGTGGAAGGTGTCCCTGCCCATGTAGGCAGGTTGGAATTAGATTATCTTTAATGTCCCTTCCAATTCAAACTATTCTATAATACTGTAGTTGTCAGTTTAAGTTTAGCTACATTTTAATGATAAACTGATTGCTGTATTTTTTAAGGAATGTTGCCATGAAATTCCAAAGATATTAAGTACCACAACTTTAGGTTGCATTTAACTTTTTAGATGTTTTGACTCTCATTTTAAGGGTGTAAATAAACATACCCTTTGACCTGCCCTCACTTTATTTTCAGAGGTATGTTTTTAACACTTTTATTCCCCAAAACAGATTCCCTCAGAATTTTGGGTACCTGTAGTCAAAGGGGTTTAATTTGACCTCACTACAGAGGCCTATGTGTGAACTCAATGAAATATCTCTATTGCTCAGCAGAAGAGCAGCTTTCAGTAGGAGAATTGTATTACTCAGCTGGGAATCAAGATTCCTTGAAGGTCACCAGATTACAGACGTGGTGTTCTCCTATGCTGGGTGCTGGATGAAATGACAGAAGTATGCAGAATAGATCAGAGACAGCAAAACAGACTTTCAGTGAAAGAGGAAGAAGAAGGAAGGGAAGAAAATGGGATCAATGCACATGCTAGTTCTCCACAGAAATGTATCCTCAGCATCAATTCATCTCTTCCTTGTAAATCCCCAAGCTATAGGAGGTTGCACACCTGTTTTCCTGATCTAAATCTCTTGCACACAAATGTTATGCAAAGGTGACTAGCATTTATAGGCCTTTTGTTTAACAGAACAAACTAATTCTTTTTGCTCTTTTGAATATCTACAATTACTTCTTCAATCATACTTAAACTTCAGTTGTCTTCAATATTAGGTCTATTTTATAATTTACCTCCCAGTTAAGCATATGCCAATATCAAGTGATGCGTATTAACATAATGCACCAGCTCTTTAACCCTGGAAAATTAAAGAGCCCATCAAAAAATGAGAAACAATCTTAGAAGCCTACCAACTGTTTTGATGAATATTGACATTGAAAGGAAACTATAAAGGTTCTGACGACATTAATGAAAGATCAAAGAAGAACTGAATCCAAGATGTAGATGTGTGGGTAATGAATATGCATTTGACCAGCACTGATGCTCAGTTCACTCCAGTACATCACATCCCACTATATCACATAACTGGGACTTTCAACACACCACAGGTTAGGATTTTAATATGCAAAAGTTAGTGAGTACTATATGGCTGAAGCGAGTGCCAGTGAAAGTCAACTGTTCAGCCCTGAGATGTTGCTCTCCAGCACTGTAATCACAAAAATTTTCCACAGCACCACCAAAATATCCTCAATTTGTTTGATGAGGTGGCCTGCATGTTCCTGTTGATTGCTCAGGAGTGCTGCTCAAGACAAAGCAGAGCACTTTGCAGGGCAGTGTGGGTCTGGCATAGACAGTGCAGTTAGGTATGGAACAGTATAAATGAAGCTTACCTACACTTCTTTAATCACTTCTGATAAAACTAGAGTTACAGTCTTTTCTTTCCATGCTTAAAGAACAGCTGTACTGAATGACAAGCTGTCTTCACTCTGTGGAAAAAGCATAGCTCCCTTTGTTAAACGAGTTGGATAAATCATGATTTTGCCAGATTATTGGGGTAATTAGGATTTTTTTTCTGACAAAGACACAAAACTTCACATGACTCTAGAATTAGACCACTGTTTTGACACTTGACAATGAACATTCATAAAGATTATTTCTGCAAGCTAATGGAAGTTATGCACTATATATCTACAGGATTAAATGTGTTATAGAACCAGTCACTGATGCACCACTGAAGTCCTTCAAAGCTGCTACACAATTACATCATCTGCACTTTTCTGTAGCAACATATTATATAGAACTACTTAAATTTTAGATTTCCTAAAACACCTGTGAACATGCAACACATAATGTACAAAACATATAAAGTATTTGTAACTTCAGCCTCATCTTCACATAAAGTGAAGTTTTGCTCTTCCATTATCCTCATAAGGACAAGATGCCCTCCTAGTCTGGAAGTTTCAATCAATTCAGCTGAAATAACATTAATTTTAGCAATATTCATTAAATAGGAAGATAGCTTCCTCTTTTGCCTTCCTAGGTGGTCAAACAATGAATATGTTTTTTAAAAATTATAATATATATTTCTATATATAAAAAATAAGTCTTCTACTTTTCACAGGATCACAGGATAAGCTGAGTTGGAAGGGATCCTCAAGGATCATTGAATCCAACTGTTTGCCCTGCATAGCACCATCCCCTCCATATGAAGTTGAGAAAGGAAGAACATCTTTAAAGAAGAAAAATCAATCCTGTAAAAAACCAAACCACCCTACCAGTTTCTTACTCTTCCCTCTCTTCTCTTCTCCTTTCACCTTTCTCTTCTTTTTCTTTCATTATCAGAAGGTACTCGTTAAAGACATTAATAGGAACTAAGGCAAGAACTTCCCACTAATTACAAAGCAAAGTAATTCATTTTTCCAGAAATATACTGATGCTGAACAAAAAGAAAACAAACTAACAAGAATGCCATAGTGACACAGTTTGACTATTAGAAATGTCCACTCAGGCATGTAAAAAGATTAAGGCTCATATCCTGCTGTTCTTAATTGCCTTAGGCTGCAACATTACGGTGGTCAGACAAAGACTAACAAGAAGTGCCAAGTCCTCCTGGACCCAAGAAGCAATGTGATGAGTAAGAAAGCATAAGAAGTAGCACTTTAGCAAGCATGCATAACAGGCTTTTCCATAATCAATACAGAAATTCATTCATTGATATGTGATCAACTTAGGAGATAAACCTGTTTACTAACAGTTAAATGAATAGTTTCCAACCACTCTTTCCATTTTGACACCTTAACACAGCCTTTACCAAAAAAATGCAGACTGCTCAATACAAGAAGTGTTACACTAATCAAAGATTGCATAAAAGAAGCTTAAGTTAGTATAGAAGGTTACAAAGTACTTTCTTTGCTAATTCATAATTAATATATGCTTCATTTAAAAAAAAAATACCTATTCTTTAACGTCTGGTTCTTCTACAGCACTAGTGGTGAAGACCTCTTTTTGCATATTTCTTCCCTCACACTATTGCTTACCATGACTCCAAAATTAACTTGAATGCTATAAAACCTGTAATTTCTGAAGACTGGGAT